ATATATATTATTCTTCTCTCTCTCTCTCTCTCTCTCTCTCTCTCTCTCTCTCTCTCTCTCTCTCTCTCATTTGCGTAAGAGTGCCGTCTCTCGTCAAAGTGCATAAATTCGTGTGATTGTGCGCCCGAGTCGATGTAACGGTCTTCCGCACGTTTCGATGTGTCGATTTTATTTAGGGATGCTCTTTCCTCTTTCGAATCTGTTTCTATTTTGCTGACGGACATTCTCTCCAGTACCTGTTTAGTCGAACGAAAGAGAGTTATCTATTCAGCGTAATGCATAAAACTTCATGGTCGGCTAATGGAATGAAATGGAATGTATACGCGCTGTCATGATTATTTTAGGAATCTTCATAATATAGTCCGTTACCACGGGGTTTTCGACAGCCGCGTCTGTAATCCGATATATAATGCTCACCGATAAATTATATATACTCGCGAAATTATCTATTTCCCTGAGTAAGCGCTTTAAGCTCTTATACTTATTAGTACGAAGTACCCATAAATGCGCATCTAAATAATGACGCTGCAAGTACTCTTGTCTTCTCTTTTAAATGAACACTCGTATTTTTCGAATTATCGTACTTTTTTCGCTGATTCTCTCATCCGTGAATATTGTGCTCTCAAGAAATACATTTTATTTCCTCTATCACATCGAAGTCGAATTACGTACGATCTCGTCACGTACACGGTTCACGCGTACGTTAGAAATATGCGTCTCGCCTCCTTTCCAGAGAGACTTCCGACAGTAACGTAGCATGGAAAGCTCGTACAAACGAATTTTATGGCGACCTATCTTCATGCACCACCTACGCGCCTACCTCGCGCAAGGTGCATCGACATGTCGATACTACCTGCTGTTACCATCGAATCTCGCGTCTTCCCACCGCCACGATATACCGCTCCCGGCTGCCATTGCCGCGAGATAAACCTCTGGAAATTGGATTTACATGACGCGGATTAGGATAACCGAATCTGATAGGCCGACTCCCCCTGTCTGCCGCATCATTGGAAATGTATTCCGGATTCTCCTACGGCTGCACTATCGAACGTGTAAAATACGAGACAGGGAGGATACAGACACTGCGGAGAAATTTGACGGCGCTTTATTATCTGCCGCGTGTCTGCCGCAGAAACCTGTAAAAGCATTGTTGATTCTTCTTGCAAAATAGCTTGGACACGATGCCGCCTTAAGTCTTATTCCTTTCCGATTAAATCGTCTTCCTTTTTCTAAGATTTTTTATTTTGCTTTTTTTTTAAATCTTATATTACACGTATTATATATATTAACGGACGCGTTAAACGGATGTTCCTTTAGAAAATATTAAACTTTTCAGCACACAGAGATTTTCACGGAGGAAACCATATACTTATTAGATATATTCACCTAAATCAAGTAAGAGGAAACTTGCTTTATCGCGCTCACAAGCTTGGTAACTCGGTAACTTTTATAAGCCAGACACTTACATGTAGCTCTTACGTGTAGCCTCGCCGCGCTATATTCCTCGACAATCAACTTTACGCGATATGATACATCCCTCGTTCCAATTCCAGCGAAATACGGCGCACACAGAATTCCCGGACAAATTACTCGGGTCCGTCGTGGACTACGTAAGCCAAGAGAAAGCATCCACGGGCGTACTTGCCGCAACGGCGGAGCCCAACGTCCACTTAAGAACCTCCCCTGGGAATTATTCAACATTAATCGAAACTTACGGAATTCCAGATTATCCATCGCATCGTCGCCGTCGTAACCCGTCGTCGTCGTCGACGTCGACGTTCGCCGGATATTCGGAATTTCAAATGGACCATGACTTACGAATATTCAACAGGCACTTCGCACACCCGACGTCGCGTTTGCGCACGATGCCGTTCAGACAATCGCGTGCTCTATACGCTTCCTTCCCCGAGACACCGGCATTCAACGCTACGAGATCCGATTTCGTACACGTTGGATACCTTCACGAATCGCCATTCTTCGCGAAGAGAAACGGATCGGCGCGCGCGGCTTCCATTTTCTTCTTCTCCATCCAGCGTCAGATTCTCGCGATCAGATCTTCGCGTGCGTTGACGCGAAAAATAATATTTTTACATTGACTTTCTATGCGTAAAAAAAAAAGAGAAAAGAAAGGAAGAAAAAAAAGAAAACAACGTGAAAGGGAGGAACGGATCGTGAGGCCCAAACCCGAGCGAACGAGCAGAAATATATATTGTATGGGTGCAATCTCGATACACTTCTGCTAACAAAAAAACGCGACCACAGATAATACCTCGGATAATAGTTGATTTATGGTCATATCATATACTCCATCGAACTTTAGGGACACATTAAACTTTTATAACGTTCTCAAAAGTATAACGGCTTTTCGTGATACTTCCGACCGCACGAGAGCGATCCGCACTCTACTTTGTCGGTAAATCTTCTTCGAGCGGTGAGGTTTTCGAGTCGACTCTATCCATCAACGTCGCGCGGTGCACACGGCATCCATTTTACCTAATATCCACTAGCGTAATCCGTTTTATTTCATATCAGTCCGGGCTTACTCGCTTAACCATAGCAGAAATCATTTTTTCCTCGCCGCGACGGGACCAGTCGCAGTTAATCACACAAATTCGACGATCAATATTGGACTCGATTTCGGGGGTGCGATTTTGCGACGCGATCTCCATCGACCCCAATTTCGCCAGCGGGGGAGAGCGGCAAGTAAGGGCCTGGCATTCCGTGACGACGAAATTCCTTTCCTGTCAGGTCGTCGTCCGTGAATTTACGACCACGAAAGTAGTCAGCCCTGAAAAATGCTATCCGCGGTCAAAAATTTACGGGCATGCGATGCGGTTGTTCAGGAGGTGAAAAAGTAGCTCAGAGAGGCGGAATAGGAATTTTGCCGTTGCGAAATATGTACTGTGTTTCCTCTTTCATGCCGACGAGACACTCATGCGCGTAATACATACGATAAATTTTACTGGAGCGCTTGCTCACTGTGTAATCCGTGCCGTTCCCAGCTCAAAATTATTTAGTAATAAATAATCTCATGTCTATAATTATATTTCGATTAGCCACGGTAATCTACACTTGTATGCTATTATTCACATTTGCATACCGCTGTATTTCAACTAAGTTCACATTCGGAACATTTTATTTTCTCGTGTTACAGGTGTTTTCACAAGTTGACATACTCTTCAGTATTGGCGGGAAATATTACACAGGCGAACCCATCACTTACACCTACATGGAGGATAAAATTTTCGAGACTTCTCGAAACATTACGATCAAGCTTCATCACCGAGTTGGAAAATTCGTTAAGCTGAGACTGTATTTCTCAGATCGATGGATCATGGTCAGCGAAGTAACCTTCGATTCTGGTAAGATAATTAATAATATTATTAAGGTATTATTGTATTCGTTTATATTTTGTATATACATGTACATATTTTTGTTATCTTCGGGAAGTCTTCCATCAATATATTATGAGAACTTATCTTTTAGCTTTTAATATTAGAAGAAAAAATATATTCTTTTGTTAAAAAAAAATTATTTCTTTCTCTTTTTATACGTAAGACAAAAACTTTCCTAAACGAACAATACTTTTCTGCCTAGTGTTAAGGAAGAAATAATAACATCTAATGAAATCCCTAAAATGTAAGACGCGTACCAATATAAGAAACTGTATATTATCTTTTTTATTAAGCGCGAAGGAACGCAAAAATTGTGTGAAAACACGTACTGTTTTCTCCTAAGGAATTTATGAAATTTTATTCCGCAGTCCACTCACGCACGCGCACGTTTGATACAAACGTAGAGCTTAAATTCAATGTTTCCAAATCTCCATAATCGTGATCGGGGCAACTAGGGCAATAGAAATTTATTCGTTCGATATTTCACGAGCCAAGGTGGGAGAGAATGACAAAGCTAAAAAAAGATGTCGCGATCCGTCATTTAATTTCACTGAATCCATCATCTCTCGTCCATCCATCCCATGACAGCTCCCAGCAGGACGTGCCGGCCGAAATTCCAGAATACATTAAAACCCTCGAACGAGGATATTTATATTTCCACCCTGATCCGCGCGCCATAACGGACAAAAACAATGACCAGGTGGCAGGGAGAGGGGGGAAGAGCCGTGGGACATCGCGGTGGAAACTAGGGACGAAAATTTCTGCTCGTGACGCGAAATCGTTTTGTGACACAAGCCTTCACCGTAGAGAGATCACGGGGAGGGGATGGAGAATGTATTTCTTTTTGTGATTCTGCCATTTCATTCCAATTCGGCAACCAAACCCAACAGCGGAACTCCTCCTCTTCCGCGCCACTTTTCTACCTCTCCGTCTTTGCTCCCTCGACTACCCCGATTGCCGCCTGTCAATCATCGGAAAAATAAATCTCGAAGTTGATTTAAACCGATACGTGCGGTAATTGACAATGGCTTATCGTATATCTGCCAGACAGCGATTTCAAAACGGACGATGCTCGGGGAGGGGAACACACGAGTGGAAGAGAGAGAGAGAGAGAGAGAGAGAGAGAGAGAGAGGGGCATACAAATAATCCATACCGTGTCTCTCCTTAAGCGGCATCTCCACGATTTTGACATCGCGCGTACAGAAAAATCGACTGCGATTCGATTGAACGTTCACTTGATAGAAATCAACTTCCCTCCTCTTCACGATCAGCTTCCTGAGAAAGAAACGCGCCGCGGCGTGAACGTTAGACAGAGGGAAAGGCGCTTTATCAGCGGAGATATAAATCGCAGGATATGTCTCCATATATCGAGTGTGCGCGATTCTGAAAGCGACTTTCGCCTCGTCCCATGCCGTGCTCGCGTTCCATCTGATTTAACGCGGATTCAATAGAAATCGCATCCTACGAGGAGTTCATCCGCGTTTACAGTATATCGATACGATTGCTGAATAAAGAGGATTTATAATCAAGACAAAATGGAGACAGACGGAATGCGTCAAACGACATTGTACAATCGTAAATTGCAACACATACACATAATTTTATCTTACATTATATCTAAAATTTTATTTCGAATATAATTTATTAGTTGATATAATTACGAGTCCGCATTGCAATTGCCTGTCTATACAATAATGACAATATTGTAGAATAATATCGCAAAACTACTATAACTATAATAGTATACTATGTCGCATGTTATTGATCTTAGATTGAAATTAAGTTGGAGAATTCTGGGACAATTTGCTTAATAGAATCACGATATTACATTCGTCAAAACAAGCAATCAGGTCGCAATGCTTTTATGTTTGAAATATTTGGATATGTACAAACTGTATATTTATTCAATTTACATCTCACTTACGCTCAACTGAGAGAATTAAGAGAATAAATATATAAAAAAACAAATCACAAGTAGGTCACCGAACAATTACACTGCAAAATCATTCTCTTTTAAATCTCTCTGTTATATTACAAGATATTTTTTTAAAAATATGTATAAAAATTCTCTCAGTGAACGAATGCAACAAACGATCATGACTAAGATCATATTTATAGTCATGTTTTTGCTGACAAACTCAGCTAAAAGCAGTCCTGACACGACGCAATTCAATCAATAAAACTTGAGAATCAATTTGATATTTGTGACACTATTGTATTTGCAATCGCAATTCAATTTAGGAACTAGGTAAAGCTTGTTTTTAAACAGCTTGAATTCTATTTTTCGCATTTTAGTGTTTAATTCTTGAGGAAAGTACGTGTGTAAGAAATTATGTATGTACATGCATATGCACATACATAGATAATTTCGAATTATCTATGTATGTGCATATGCATGTAAATTAACTATTAATACTATTAATACAGTTTGATATAACAGATTACGCATGAGTAAATTGATCAGTTGATTTATATATTAAAATTAAAATTATTTATATTGAAAAATTTATATTATATTAAAATTTTCAAGAAACAAAATTGAAAACAATTGAGATGAAGATATATAATAATTTTTGTTAACTTTTAATTATGAAATTTTATGTCAAGGAGATTATCATGGTTTTAATTTTCGAGTTTATTGCTCAATTAGTGGAAAAAAAGAAGAAAAAATAAAATTACTCGATATATATATTAAATATTGATATTTTTAATAATAAAATTTTTTTTAGGATATTCATATTTTCTGAATAATAAAAACGTAAAAAAACAAAAAATATTTATACAAAATAGAAATAAATTATTTATAGAATATTGCAAGGAATAGTTATTAATTTAGTTACGTTAGTTTATTTTAGTTTATTTTTCTTTTTTCTCAAACATATTTTTTAATATAATTGAATATAATATAATTGGATATCACAACATTTGACCTTTCTATATGTGTTCTCTTTCTCTCTCTATCTCTCTTTTCTGAAAATAAATGTATAGCGTGTTATAGAGTAGCAATATATAAAAAAATTTGTATATACATTTCATAAACATAAATAAAATAATATTACATTGACAGATAGCACAATTTGAATAATTTATTTAATGAAAAGAAAAACATTAATAATTACTAATAAGATGTAATCATATAAAAAAATAAGCCAATTTTATACTTTAATTTATCATAGCCTATCCATTTTTATTTATTTATAATTTTACTTTTCATATCACTGAAACAAATAGATACATTGAGAATATGAGATCCTTTCATACTACCTCATATATAATATTGTGACATCCAGTACAATAATACAATAATTTAATAACATCAAGATTTAAGTTTAAAAATATTTATTACTTTTTTTATCATACAAGTTTATCGCTATGGAGTACCGATCATAATTTGAGAATATATTTGAGCTTCGTACGAAGTTATTGTACGCAAGATGTGACAACCAAAGTGAACATATGCCAAGAGTGTAAAAAAATAATAACTATTTCAACTAATAACTATTTAGCAACTATTTATTAACAAGCGTTTATTTCTCTCTTAATCGAAAGCGCTCTTAAAAGAATATATATATATCTTTTTTCTTTTTTTGGCATCTTGCGACTTCCGGATATCTCTGCATATATCCGTAGTGCGCGTGTTAACACGAATATGTGGGACTTATTGTTTTATGCCGGTTCCGAACGGCCAACATAGCAGGAGAGGGGGGGATTTTTTCGACACAATTTAGACGGTTGCCAGACCTCCGTAGAGGAACGTCGTCACTTATAAATATTGTCGGACCGGGATCGGGATTTGAAGCCGGGACACCTCTGACCTTAAGAGTCTCGCGCTAACTCGCAGAGCCACAACGCACTCTTTTATACATACCTATATACAAGATCATATTGAACAAAGTGGACTATCGCAATATTTTATTTTCGAAAATATAGCAAACAAGATTATGTTAAGATGCATTGTTTGCAATGTAAATGTAAAAATATTTCTCAGACCAGAGAAAGAGAGAGAGAGAGAGAGAGAGGAGGAGGGAAGGGT